GGTGTGGGCTACGATCTATGGGGTGAAAGACATGTGAGGCGAAAGGAAGCTTAGGCAACGGAGGCCATGGGCAATAGGCTGGTGAAAAAGTTGTGTGGGTAGTATGTGAGAACTGCTCGTGGCGCTAGCTAGTGTGAGGAAGGTCGATGATACTCGGCTAGAGTAAGGGTTAGCAAGCATATAAAGATTGGCGAGAGGATCTGTAAGTCGTGAAGAGGTTGGAGTTGTTGGCTAGAATAGAGGCTAGTAGGCATGTGGAAGCTTGGTGTCGAGGCTGGTGTGCTAGACATGAGGCAAAGAAGGGAATTGATAAGAGAGAAACCGAAGTGAGCGAGAGAGAGGGTTACGATCGATGAGAGGGAGGTTGGAAGGGTTTCTTATTTTAGGTCATGATGAATATTGTCTCGTATAAACAAATGCATGGGAGTTGATATATATACGTTTTTTGGAAAAAAATCCAATTTTGTCTCGTTTTCTTCCATACATTTATTTAGGCTCAATTTTTTTTTAAATTTAAGCCTCATATTGCCAATAATTGGGACTTTTATTTTACTTAGTTTCAATTGTCCCCCTCCTTATTTTAATTCAATGATTTGAAGCTTTGACTTTTTTTAATTATGCCCTCAATTGTCTCTTTTATTATTTTGAAACTTTTTTATTTTTTAATTAAACCCCTCTTTTTAGAATTAATCTAAGCTAGATTATTCTAATTGCACTCTTTTTTCTTTTCTATTTTTTTAATCATCGATTGCCTATCACTAATGGCGGCTAACAAGAAGGCTTGAGGTTTCATAAGTGTTTACTTAGGGTGAAACCCATTGAGGCACTACTACTAACTCCCTATATCTTAAGATGAATGCGAATGACAATTAAAATTGCAAAGTATAGTGTGTGGAGCACAACTCCATATCCGAGTCTCAAATGTATGAAATAAAATGCTAAAAATTAAACAACCAAAGTTGTAAAAAAACAACACATACATATACAAATATGTTCCCATAACACGAAAACGAGATAAACAATTAAACGAAAATCACTCAATCAAAACAAATAGACATAAAGGCATAACAAAACTAAAGATTTATAAACACGGACATTCAAAGCTTGACTCTAGCATAGCATGGTCCCTAGTGGAGTTGTCAATTCCGTCGACATTGGCCTACCGCTAAAGGGGAACATGCCAAAACAAAAGAGTAACCACTTAGCTAATCGGAGAGAACTAGAAAGCTCTAAATATACTAATCTATATGGATATCTAGATAAGAGGTCGATTACATATGGGGAAGACATAATGTCACCACCATCCTATCCTACCTAAGGTAGGTCGCATTATTTATCTATGAATATAAAATTTTAGTTTTTTATTCTATTATACTTCTATACCTATTCAAATGAATTTATTTGGTAAAAATATAGGATGAGATGGTTTAGATATGAAACAAGATAGTTTGGACATTCGAGTCGATCCAAAGCCAATACGACCTACCCAAATGAGAAAAAAGTTAAAAAAAATTAAAATTTTGACTAATCATTAGTGAACACGACTTATTATTGAAAAACATATGAGTTTTTAAAGATAAATAGCCCTTTATTGGCATGAGTTACGAGTCACCGAGCAACTTCACTTACACAAGTAGGAAGTCACCAACTTCGCATCAAGTATTTAAAAAGTTATCGATAACTTTGTTATAAAAGTGGGATGTCACCAACAACTTCATGTCATTCAAGCGAGGAGCAAATAAGCTGTTTCAAAAATCTAGAGTGACTTCATCGGATAAGTGAGATGTTACGAGTAGCTTCGTTTCAAAAAGCATACATCAAATAAAAATTATTTCGAAACCCTCCGACGACTTCTTCACATAAATGGAAAGCTATCGGTAGCTTCTTTTCAAATAAGCAAATAATTAAACAAAAATATTTCAAAATCCTTCGACAATTTTATCGCATAAGTGAGAAGCTACCGGTGGTTTCTTTTCAAACAAGTAAACAAATAAACAAAAATATTTCGAGATCCTCCAACTGACTTCGTTATACAAGTGGAAAGCTACCAACATCTTTTTTTCAAATAAATAAACAATTAAATAAAAAATTATGTTGAAACCCTCTAGTGACTTCATCATATAAGGAAAAAGCTACTGGTCGCTTATTTTGATCTAACAAGGAACCAAAAGGATAGGAAAGGAAAAACATAAATTAAAAATAGAAACGAGGAAAAAAATATATAAAAATAAAAAATAAAAAATAACTCTAAATAACATCATCCCCTTTAATTCCATATTGCAAACCACAATCAATCAATCATCCAAAAAAAGCAAACACCAATTATATTTTAAAAGTATAGTAGTTTTGGACTTTTTTTACTTAAAAATCCAATGATTCTTATGTTTGATTTAGAGTTAGTCTTACTCTCTTCGTTCGCGATGATAATTGAATATTTGATTAGCTGGGAAATGAGGGCGATTATTTATTGGTAACATGCGTTACGGGTCCTATTAGAGTGACCAAAAACTCATCGAAATGTGTTTTCTATTAAAACAAATCAACCAAAACAACAACAAAACCACAACAAAAGGTCCTTTTTTTCGAGTTCTTTCCTCTTTGTTTTTCTTTTTTTTTTTATAGGGTTTTGTTGCTTGTATTTCGAGCTGAGTTTAAAAGGGCTATTATGGTGTGTTTCGGACGTTGGTGTGAGGGCTGGAGGGTGGCCATGTGGAAGAGGGTCGGCGGTGTTTATGTATGGCTTATGGAAGGGGTTGTTATGGCATGTTAGGAGGTCCGGAATAAGGGTTGTTTTAGGGTGTGTTTTGAGTCAACTTTAGGGGGCTTTGTTGTGTGTTTCGAGGTTGAAAGGTTGGTTGTTATGGTGTGTTTTAGATGTAGGAAGGAGGCTAGAATAGGTGGCCTTCATGGTGTGTTTTGAGCTAGTTGGCCTAAATGAACTGGAAGTGTAATGAGCTTGAGCATGAGTGGAGCTTAATGTGTGTGATGGCCTATGGTATGGGTAACGAGTCGTGGGGTGAGAGACATGTGGGGCTAGTGGAAGCTTAAGTTAGGGAGGCTATGGGTGTTGGCTAGTAAAAGGGTTGTGTGGGTAGTGTGTGAGAGCCGATATGGCGTCGGGTGGGGTGAGGAAGGCTAGCGATACGACCGGAGTGAGGGCCGACACGAATGTGGAGGCTAGTGAAAGGACTCGTGGGTTATGAAGAGGCTAGAGTTGTTGGCTGAAGTGGAGGGCTGGCGGGCGTGTGGGGGGCGGTGTCTTGGGCGTAAGGCGAGAGATGGGAATCGACGAGAGAGAGATTGGAGTGGACAAAAGAAACGATTGCGGTCGGCGAGAGAGAGGTTGAAAGGGTTTCTTGTTTTAGGTGATGATCAATAGTGTCTCATATACACAAATGCATAGGAGTTTTTATATGTAGGTTTTTTTTTTTTTGGCAAAAATCCAATTTTGTCCTTGGTTTTCTTCCATGCATTTATTTGGGTTCAATTTTTTTTTTTTTAATTTAAGCCTCCCATTGCCAATGATTTGGACTCTTATTTTAATTAGTTCGAATTGTACCACTTCTTATTTTAATTAAAGGATTTGAAGCTTTGACTTTTTTAATTATGCCCTCAATTGTCTCTTTTTTATTTCCAAACTTTTTATTTTTTAATTAAACCCCCCTTTTTTTAGAATTAATCTAAGCTAGATTATTCTAATTGCTCTCTTTTTTCTTTTCTATTTTTTTCTTCTTTTTTTTCTTTTTAATCATGATAATAAAGGAAAGCAAAAATTAGGAGCTAACAATTTTAGCGACGATTTTGAAATATGGTTGCTAAATTGTCCAAATTTTGCAATAGATTTGGCATTGATTTTAAAAAAAAAATTGCTGATTTGTCGAAAATTAGTAACGATTTTTTTCAATATTAACGATAGTTTTCCCATCACAAAGTTAGCGACGGTCTTAAGAAACCGTCGCTAATTAATTTTAGGGATAGTTTTTCGACAATTAGCAACGGTTTATAATTATTTTGGCAGTGAGAGTTGATTCTAATTTTCGGTCCAACATGGATATGGGCAATCATCTTTCAAGCAGAAAAGATAAGATTGTTGCTCATGGCATTTCAGTTGAAAATCATCATCTCACTTCTGTCCTCCATATACTGCATGTCGTAAGAACTCAAAACAGATGGCCCTTTTTGTAAATTTCTCTTCTTTAGTAAATTTTGTGAAATATTTTCCTTGTTGCTTAGTCATTAACTCCTACAGTAATTTAATTTTTTTCTAAAAAAAGGCCTAACGTTGGGCCATTTGAAGAATATTCAAGTTATGTTTTTATCTTCCACAAATGGATAAACCCATTTAGCTATGTTTATCTGATACCTAAGATTGATATTCTTTATCCAATTGACCAACTTGTGTATATCTTTTGTAAAATATTCAAGTTGTTCTAGTCTGGCCTTAGCCATTCTAGGTCAAATCCTATCGCATACAACTTTGTGATTGATGCTTTTGCCCTAAGACTCCATTGGCTAAAATGTTCTCTTGTAATCTTTCTGGTTTTTTTACAGTTTCAAAGATTGATTGTTTCTGTGAAGAAGAAACTAGATATAACCAAACAAATAACTCAACTTTTTATTTTTTTAATTTGCCAACATTTTCTGGACAACAAAATTATTCTAAAACGTAACTTGATTACTGGTCAACAACCAATTAACAAAAGATGGAGGATAGATTAGAGGAATTTCAAGTTTTTTAATCCAGCAAAGAAAAACATAGACAGTCAATAACAATCAACACATGATACTCTTTTCAATGTATATAGATAAGAAGGTGAACTAACAAAAACTGAACTAAAAAGAGCTGTCCTGTTTTCTCAACTACACCAACCATTCAAGAGAGATCTTCCCTTTTCATCTCCATCTATAAAAACCCCAAGACCAGCCCTGCTATGTCACAGTACAGAATCTCATACAGTTCTTCATAACATAGTCTTGTAAGGCCTTGAAAATCTAGCAAGATGGCAAGTTTCAACTGTTTTATCGTAGCACTCTTCGTTCTTTTATCATTTTCGGGTGGGGAAGCTGCTCGTCATCTTCAGCAATTGGCGAATTTGCCTAAACCACCATTGCCTTCTATACCGACACTTCCACAGCCCACATTACCAACCTTGCCAACTACTCAACCTTCACTGCCTAAGCCCACTTTGGCTCCACTTCCGAGCCTGCCAACAATGCCAACCATGCCTGTTGTCCCCAAGGTCGCATTGCCTCCACTTCCCAGTCTGCCAACATTGCCTGCTGCCCCCAAGGTGACCTTGCCTCCACTTCCAAGCATGCCCACAATCCCCACAATTCCAATCCCAACTACAATTCCCTCCATTCCACTCCTCTCCCCACCACCTGCTACCACTAGCCCTTGAGTTTCGTCATTCTATTCCTTGCAGCAAGGGCTTGTATTGTATGTACCATTAGTGCCGCTTTGATTTGGCATAGACACGTACACTAGTGTAGTTTCATGCTATTCGATGGCATAATTCTTCCTTTCGTGTGTCCTTGGAGAATTATTGGGGTGTTGACAATTTGTTTCAGCTCTGTTTTATATATATATATATATATATATATATATACACTTTATACTGTATTTTGACAATACTTTGTATTTTTAAGCTTTTATTTTGAGATATATGATCATTGTATTATTTTTTCTGAATTTTAGTTTGTCTCTAAAAGTCTTCAATGTGTGTGATGCAATGAATTTGAATGTCCATGTTGGTGGCAAAATGCACACCCTACTACAGTAAAACACTAGCCAAATATATCAAAGATTTCTTTTTCTGGATTTGCATTTTATAAAACTTTATGACACAAAGATAGGATAAGGATGGTCTCTCGAATAGGAAATTAATAATGTTTTGAAGAATTAATAATATGTATGATGCAAATATTACAATTAAAATGATTTTGGTGGAGGGAAAAATATTGGAGTCTTTAAAGCAAAATTTAATTGCAATCTAGTGAAAATTACACAATAAGTTCATTGTTAAGCCCTTTTTTTTTTTTTCATCATCATCTTGGCATATGTAATAAGTTTTCTAATTCTATATGAAATCACAAAGGAAAATGTGTTCAATCAGCAAACTTAAACAGGAAGACGTTTCATGCTATATAGAAATGTCAAATTTTGCTTTGCAGTTATATCAGATTCTGGATTCTGCTATACTCATATAAGAGGAAACAATGTCAAATAGCTGCAAGTTTAGTGTATAAAAACACGACGGTAGATATGCCTATAAATTCTGCTTCCTAACAACTCGTAGAGAATCGTTTATCAGTAAGTCCTAACAAGGGATTTAGTTTATCCAAGATTTTCAATTGCTGACTAACCATTTCACCTTCTCATCACAGAATGACAAAAGAGGCAGGATTTGGAGAAGGATGTTTCCAAGAGATTTCCTCAACGTATCTCATCGTTGGTGAATCGGAGAATGGTGTAACCAACAAAATTGGTTCTAGACATTGATGACGCCGAATGAGCATACCATATATATCAGTCCTCAGGGGATTCTGAACCCACCCCCAAAACTAGAAAGCTAATAAATGAAAGCAAAGCACTGTCGAATTTCCACCAAGAATGCAGTCATTTTTTACGACTTTTACTCTTGAATTCAAGCCCTGAAACCTGTATAAATTGTGAACCTTTTCTTCTCTATGTATACTGTTCTGAAGATATTTATCTCTTTTTTCTTGGTGAGGCCCTTCTTTTTGTTGATTAACCATGGTTAGAAACAGTAAGGGTCGCCAAAAGTTGGAGATGGTCAAAATACCAAACAACAACAATCTAATGGTAACCTTCTCAAAGCGTAGATCTGGCCTTTTCAAGAAGGCTAGTGAGCTTTCAACTCTTTGTGGCGTTGAAGTCACCGTCATTGTGTTCTCGCCTGGCAAGAAGGTCTACTCTTTTGGCCACCCTTCTGTCGAAAAGGTGGTGCAACGTTTTTCCTCGGGAAATATTCCCCAAAATTCAGGTGCTTCTCATCTTATTGAGGCTCATCGCAATGCTAGGATCTGTGAACTCAACATGCAGCTCACTCAGGTACCAAGTGGCAAGAATTTTGAAAGTGTATTTGTCTCTTCTTTTATATGCAGAAGATATTGCGATAATTTCCTCTCTTTTTTTGGGTTGCATTTTTAAAGAATTTTAATTGGAATTTTTTGCACCATCTGTTTGCTTTCATTAGAAAACCAAAATACGTTTTAACTAATAAATGATTCACTAGGGGCTCAACCAACTAGAAATGGAAAAGAAGAGAGGTGAAGAGTTAGACAAATCGATGAAAGCTAGTCAGAGTCAGAACTGGTGGGAGAATCCTATTCAGGATCTTGACTTGGCACAACTTGAACAATTGAGGGCAACTTTACATGATCTCAAGCAGAATCTAGCCAGGCAAGCCGAGCAGTTTCTGCTTCAAAATTCAGCTCCTCCTCAGCCTTTTAGGGCTCCAAACCCCAGCATTGGTGGGAATATTCCCTTTGATACCAGGAATATAGGATTCAACCCAAACATGGCTGTGACTCCTTTCAGTACAAACACAACTATGACTCCTTTCAACACAAACATGATTGGAACTGATCCCTTCAATACAAACATGACTGGGAATTCTTTCAATACAAATAGGCCTGGGACTCCTTTCAATCCAAGCACGAGAACGCCTCCTTATGGATACAATCTTGGATATGGAAATAGGTTCTTCTAGTCTGTTAATAATCCTGTAGAAATAATCTTAGTCGTAGCACAGTTAGTGCGTTTAGACTTCAGATATATTTATGTGTTTTCGTTGGAATAAGTATTGTGTATCAGAGATACTATCATAAATGACAATAAATTACCATGTTGATTTCTGAAGGATTGTTGTGATCTCCTCACGGATACATACATCCTGTGGTGAATATTCCTACGGTACACATGTTCATGCATTTATATTTTATTTACAAGGAAATGATCCAATTCAGAATTTAAAGGTTTCATGTAAAGAAATTAATGGTTTGGTTTATCTTTTTTTGAGAAGAGCTGCAACCTTCTGTAACTAGAGGTTTTTGATGCATAAAGCATTCTTCTAACTCTACGCATTACAAACCATTTATAATAACTGATGTTCCTCTACTGCAAAAGTACTGGCTGATCAACTGGTTTTGTATGGATTTTGTGTTTCTACAAGTTCAAACCAGTAACGGGAACATACCGAAAAGAGATCCTGCGAAAGAAAATGAGTTTGTTATCATTAATTTATGGTAGCTTATTTGGTAACTAGATTCAAAATTTAAATTTGATGTCTTCATTTGTGTCTTTTCGCAGTTGCATCTTTTAAAAAAATACCTCCACCATGTGAAACATCGCTCGAATGGCATGCAGTTTATAGTAAATAACTTAAAACTAGGTTTGACTATGGTTGCTGTAAATTTACAATTGATTTATGAACAACCTCTTAACAACACTTGTCGAATTGCCACATGATCTGTTAACATGTTAATCATTCCTGAAACACAAACAATCTTCTATTAAAATCTAGAAAATGTTGCTTTGATTATCTTCTTGGGGATACCTATAGGTTGCAATTATGGATATGATTCTTTTTTATATTGCAAACTTGGCTAGTGGCCTGCACTTGACCAACATTAAGTAATGCTTGCTGCAAATATTGGTAAAGGATTATAGTAATTTTTAAAAAAAAAAAAAAACAGAAAAAAAAACTATTTGCCTGTTCTGCCATCACTTGGACTTTCCTGTTGTATTAGGAGGCATTAATTATGAAATATCAACTCACCTAACCCCAAAAACTTGCCGAATCATATTCAAAAACCCCTGTAAGGAGCCTGTGACATCTTTTCAAAGAAATGCAGATGAGAAGACGAACTGCCAACAAGGAAACTCTGGGGTTCCAAGTCGTGGTTGCTTGCTGCAAACTAACAACTTGGGTTGTGTAATTGAGAGTTTAGAGAAGAGCAGTAACCTACTGATTTATGAGCATAGAACTTAACTAAGGATCAACTGAATTATGACACTTAGAATATTTGTTGTTTAGTCCAAGAACTGTGGTTAGATAGCCAAACAGATGAATTCTTAAAGAAACAATGGTCAACTAATGTAATATAGAAGTAGGTGAACTAACAATAAACCTCAAAATTGTGTCTTACAGATTTTTGCAACCAACTAGTAGTGGCCAAATCACCATAATGATCTCATGTACTGCTATAAATACTACAATCAGCCTAAACTTTACCCTACAAGCCGAGTAGAACAACTTACTTGTTCATTCTCTACTCATATATTTCTGTTGATCACAAGTGTTGTATCTTGAAATTCAGTGATGGCCTCTTCCAAAAGCTTTATCTTTACTTTCTTCATTGCTCTGGCATTTTCGAGCATGAATGTTAGCCTAGCTGCCCGTCATCTCCTCCAGGTGCCAACACTGCCTAAGCCAACACTGCCACCGATGCCTTCTATTCCAAATCTGCCACAGCCGACATTGCCCACCTTGCCTACAACTCAACCATCACTACCTAAGCCAACACTGCCTCCACTTCCTAGCATGCCTACCATCCCTACCATTCCTACACTCCCAAAGGTCAATTTGCCTCCTCTTCCAAGCATGCCTTCAATCCCCACAATTCCAACTATTCCAACAATTCCCTCTATTCCATTCCTGTCCCCTCCTCCTGCAACTACTAGCCCTTGAGTTTGCTCAGTTTATCTTCTCTTCTGATACTTCACCCTTTTGCAGTTCCTTTCTTATGATACAAGACATACTGTAGTATTCATGTTTCTTTTTGAAGGAATTCTGTCTTCCTTGTATGATTTGGGAGGTAATGAAGGCTTACAGTTGTATGTTATAGTTGAACTCACATATGTGAGCTTAGTTGGGCTTTTCTTTTTCTTCCTTCTGTGCGCTATATTAGTTTCTACTTTCTAGGACCTGGAGTTCCATATACTTCTGTATATTTTAATCTATTATTACTGAATAAAAGGTTGTTTGCATATAATTTCATGTTCATTTATGTACTTCCCTTATTCAAGTCTGAAAAAAATGTCATTTATCATCATGGTTTTCCCCGATTGAGCCATTGACGATAGCTTTACCGGTGCATGCACTTGCGTGCCCATGTGTATGTTCTCAGCTAGGGTAAAACCAGAATTCCGGTTTATAACTAGAGAAAAATCTTCAAGATTCCAATTCCTTGACCTTGCACTACAGTAGAAATAACAAGTAACAAAACCTTTATTTCGGCGGAAAAAATCCTGGACCTCCCTTATACCTGGTTGCAATCCGTTAGCAAGATGAACTTTATCTGAACATAAATATTTTTCCTTTTCAATAGCAGAGTTTTGTGCAAAATACGCCGAAGCACCATCATAAAACAAAGCATCGGAGAAGTAATCTAAGAAGCAGAGTTGCATAGGCACGATTGCGAAACAGATTTGCATTTACCTCCATAGGAAGAGAGTAACTTGAGTTGCACTAATTTAAGCATTAAAATCCTTGACCTTGCACTACAGTAGAAATAACAAGTAACAAAACCTCCATTTCTGCAGAAAAAATCCTGCAGACAAAATCCTTGACCTCCCTTATACCTGGTTGTAATCCTTTAGCAAGATGAACTTTATCTAAACATAAATATTTTTCATTTTCAGTAAAAGAGTTTTGTGCAAAATACGCCGAAGCACCATCATAAAACAAAGCATCGGAAAAGTAATCTAAGAAGCAGACTTGCATAAGCACGATTACGGAACAGATTTTGCATTTACCATCATATGAACAAATTACTTAAGAGTCTCACTAGCTTCAGCATTACAGGAAAACTAGGCTAACTGGACAAGGATGTCTCCGAAGCCTTTGTGATACCGAAATTTTTTTATGCTGGCAGCATCCTCTGGTAAATAATAAGATAAAACCACAATAAGGCCTGAACCAGCATCATTCTAAATAATCAGCTGCAGTAAAGATACCCTATTCTTAACATTTCAGACAGATAAGGAAAAGAAATCTGCAGCCGAAATTTCTGAATGACAAATTCAACGACATCTAATCCTTTCCTTAATAAGCTTCCATCGATCCCCGACTTCATCAATTCCTAAGTTGCTGACTCGAGAAGTCATTTTTTCTAAGAAGGGCAATCATAATTGATATCATCCATGTAGGAGATTCAGAAAGGAGTTAGTATAAAGAAAAATCATTATGGACTTGATTAATTTTTCCAATGATATAATCATCTGGTTTGCATGGAACAAACTAATCGCTCGCCGACATATCATATTTAACACATAATTAATTACAGTTCCTAAAACAGAATGTAATAAGCCCAAACAGAAATATTGCCCCTAACAGAAGCTAACTACATAAATGTAAAAATAATTAACGGAAGAAATAAAAGAGTAGCTTTGTGTAGTTTTATTGTTATATCTAACTTTTAACACATGCCTGAATCTAGCAAACTAATTAGTTACTCATATTTTGACAACAACTGCCCTTGCAGCCAATTCACATGAAATATGGATTGAGAGCAGTATTAATCTGTAACCAAAAACTGTGTCTTATGGCCCCAGATTAACATCCTCATACTGAATCTCCATGACCATAGATAGCGATCAATGTGAACTGTTGGTGGACAGAAACGATTATTTGAGTAGCATTATGGTTATATATTCCAATTTCTGAGACATTCCTGCATCTAGCAAACAAATTAGGTGGACTCATGTGAAAAATACAACTGCATTTGAAGGCAATGAAGATGAAATATTAACAGTAGCTGGAGGGATATGTACTAGTTGACTGGTTTCTGCTTTTTGAAGTATTTTAGTTTTAGCCTAGAACGTGAAATTAAACTCACCAAATTCAGCAGCTTACCACCCTGCATTTACATACTGAATCAATCTCTATGACTATAAATACCGAAAGGAAGTCACAGTTTCCACACCCCATAGGCCTCTAATTCTTTCCTTGTCCTGATTGTTCTAGGTCACAGGTTACTGATTTCTTGTTCTTATATTAGCATACAATGGCATCAACTCGTTTACTGATTTTGGCCATGTTCATGATCACACTGTCATTTTCAAGTATTGATGTTGCCGTAGCAGCTCGTCATCTCCTGGCTCCAACGCCTAATATTCCTGGCTCTGCAGTTCCTCCTAATTTGCCTGATCCACCACTTGTCAGGTTGCCTCCACTTCCACCCACTATCCCAGTTCCAATGTCTCCATCTTCTATCCCCTCAGTGTCAATCCCCACCACACTTGCCACTGTTCACAATGAACCGTAAGATCATTGTTACTTAGCAGCTAGAATATTTAATGGTTTGGCTGCATATTTATGTAGGTAAATAAAGGTTCATGAGTGCAAATGGGCCCTTATTTCCTTTCATATTTTCATGGCGTGTAAACGGCTGCAGAATTTCAGTTATTCGTGTTCTCTGTTCAATTTTAATTTAATGTTAATGTACTGTTTCAAATAATATGAATGTACTGTTTCAAATAATATGAATGGTAGCTATGCTTAATATGGTTTTCTGTTGAGATGCTTGTTTCAACAATATCCTTGACCGCCCTTCATACCTGGTTGCAATATGAACTTTTCAGTCAACACATTAGAGGAATGCATCAGAAAAGAAATCTAAAAAGCAGAGTTGCATAAGCATGATTACGAAACAGATTTTGCATGTACCTCCATAGGAAGAGAGTAACCGGAGTTGCATTAGTTTAAGCATTACAGGAAAACTATTTTACCCGGATAAGTAAATCTGAGAAACCTTGTAACCCAAATTTTATGCTGGCAGCATCCGCTACTAAATAAGTTGATGAAACCCCAATAAGGCCTCAACCAGCATCATTGTTAACAAACAGCTGTAATAAAGATACCCTACTCGTAACATTTCTAACAGATATGGAAAAGAAATCAGAACTCTGTGACTGACAATTAAACACCATTGACACATTACTTCATCGATTCCTAAATCGTGACTCAAAAAGTCATTTTGCTTAGAAGAGCAAATCATAATTAATATCATACATGTTGGAGAATCGGAAAGGACTTGGTGTAAGGAAAAATCATTAAGAACCTTGTTAATTTCTCCAATCAAATAATGATCTGGTTTGCACGGGACATACTAATCACTCCCCAACATATCATATCTAAAACAACATTAGCTACAGTCCCTAAAACAGAATGCAATAGCCCCACAACGGAAGCTATCTACATAAATAAATATAAAAAATTTAATAGAAGAAAGAAAAAAGTTGTTGTATAGTTTTATTGATGTATCTTACTTTTGTCACACACCAGAATCTATTAAACAATTTAGTTACCCAAATGCTGACCACAACAACATTTGCAGCCACTTCACATGAAAACTTAATTGAGGGCATTACTAATCTGTACTACTTTTATGATTTTCTTCTTTCCAATAACTTTTAAAAACACTCTGCGTACGACTCCGCATTAAAATCCACATACCAAATTTCCATGACCATAAATATAGCAGACAACATGAAACGTCAGTGGATAGAAAGATTATTTGTGTAGCTTTATGGTTACATATTCCAAAATTTGAGACATAACTGCATCTACCAAACAAATTAGGTAGATTGATGTGATAAATACAACAGAAACTGGAGTAATATGTAATAGTTGCCTGATTTCTGCTTTTTGAACTACTTTAGTTTTAGCCAAGCACATGCAATTAAACTCACCAAATTCAGAAGCTTACTACCCCCCCCCTGCATTTATGTACTGAATCAATGTCTACATCTGTAAATAACCGATAGGAAGATCGCTGTTTCCACATCCCATGAGCCTCTAATTCTTTCCTTGTCCAGATTGTTCATCTCAGGTCACTGATTTCTTGCTCTTATATTATCATACAACGGTATCTACTCGTTTACTGATTTTGGCCATGTTCATGATCACACTGTCATTTTCAAGCATTGACATTGCTGAAGCAACTTGTCATCTCCTGGCTCCGATGCCTAATATTCCTGGCTTTACAGCTCTTCCTAATTTGCCTGATTCATTACTTGTCAGGTTGCTTCCACTTCCACCAACTGTCCCTTCGGTGCCAATGCCCCCCTCTTCTCAGTGTCAGCCCCCACCACAATTGCCACTATTCACAACGGACCTTAAGATCATAGTTACATAGCAGCTGGCATATATATGAAATATATAATGCTATGACTGCATATTTATGTAGGTAAATAAAGGTTCATGCATGGAAATGGGCCCTCATTTCCTTTTATATTTTCATGGTGCGTAAACAACCGCAGAATTTTAGTTACTTGTGGTCTCTCTTGAATTTTCATTTAATGTTAATGTAGTGTTTCAAATAATATGAATGGTAACTATGCTTAATATGGTTTTCTGTTGAGATGCTAGTTTCAATAATATCCTTGACCTTCCTTCATACCTGGTTGCAATATGAACTTTTCTGTCAACACATAAATCTTTTGCATTTTCTGTAGCAGATTTCGGTACAAAATTGCAAAATACACTGAAACACCATCATAGAACAAAGCATCAGAGAAGTAATCTAAGAACAAGAGTTGCATATGCATAATTGCGAAACAGATTTTGCATTTACCTCCATAGGAAGAGACTAACCTAAGTTGCACTAGTTTAAGCATCACAGGAGAACTAGGTTAACCTGATAAGAATATCTGTGAAACCTTGTAAACCCAAATTTTATACTGCCAGCATCCTCTGCTAAACAAGTTGAAAAAACCACGATAAGGCCTCAACCAGCATCAATTTTAACAATCAGCTGCAATAAAGATACCCTACTCTTAACAATTATGACAGATATGGAAAAGAAATCAGCAGCAAATCTTTGACTGATAATTAAACAACATCCAATCCTTTCCTTAATAAGCTTCCGTTGACGCACTACTTCATCGATTCGTAAATATCGACTCGAAAAGTCATTTTTCCTAAGAAAGGCAAATCATAATTGACATCATACATGTTGGAGAATCAGAAAGGACTTAGTATAAGGAAAAATCATAAGGACCTAGTTAATTTTTCCAATCAAATAATGATTTGGTTTGCACAGAACATACTAATCACTCGCAACGTATGATGTTGAACACGACACTAATAAAAGTCCATAAACAGAATGCAATAGCCCCACACAGAAGATATCTGCATAAATGAATCTAAAAAAGTTTAATAGAAGAAAGAAAAGAGTAGTTGTTTTGTTTTGTTGTTGTATCTTACTTTTGGCACACTGAATCTATTAAACAATTTAGTTGCTCATATGCTGACCACAACATTTGCAGCCACTTCGCATGAAAAATTAATTGAGAGCATTACTAATCTGTACTATTTTTATGATCTTCTTCTTTCCAAGAACTTCTAAAAACGCTATGTGTTACCGATCCTATGTGTTACTGATCCGCATTAAAATCCTCTTACTAAATTTCCAAGACCTTAAAAATAGCAGACAATATGAAACGTCAGTGAACAGAAAGATCATTTGTGTAGTTTTTATGGTTTTATTGTTATTTATTCCAATTTCTGAGACATTCCTGCATCTACCAAACAAATTAGGTAGACTCATATGATAAATACAACTGCATTTGAAGGCACTAAAGATGAAAAATTAACAGCAGCTGGAGTAATATGTACTAGTTGCCCGATTTCTGCGTTTTGAAGTATTTTGGTTTCTGCAAGCAAATGCAATTAAACTCACCAAATGGAGCAGCTGACCACCCTGCATTTACATACTGAATCCATGTCTACGACAATAAATACCGAAAGAACCCTAACCTATCTCTTGTTACTACCTCTACCTACAAGTTTTACTTTGACAGATTCTCTGATGGGATCGATTTCAAGGATACGTAACGAACTTTTGCGAGGATAGAGAGGTCATAGAATTGTTGATATCGAAGAGGAAAACAAAGTTAGGAAGGCGTTTTGGTTTTGTTTGTTGGGGTTTAGGTACTCTGTTTGTTCATCTCAATGACATCTGGATTGGAACCCATAAGCTGCACGTGAATGTTGCAAGATACAACAAAAGGTCCCCTCCAGAAAAGGAAAATGTTGCACAACAACAAAGAAGGATATCACCAGAACATCTCAGGCTGCGTGATGATAGGTCTTATGCAGAGGTTGTGAGTCCTGTAGCTCAAAAGGTTTCAGCAGATGAGGATGTAAAGCCAAAAAACTCAGAAAAACCCAATCACTGAACAAACAAAGCTATTAATTTCTTATGATCGATAGTAAGGAAAAGGATACTGAATGGCTCAAAAGAAGTTCGGTTTATGCTATCTCTGAAGGTGTGGATTATAGTAAACTCAAGGATGATTTGGTGGTTTGGATTTTGAGGTTTTCAGAACTTTAGGTGCTTCTCCAGTTGTAATCACCTTTATTTCCGTGATAAACATGTATCAAGCCCTAGACAATTCTGACGCTATTTTGAACCCGTTCTTCGAAGAGGCCTGGCCTCGAAGAGTGTCAATGGTGCTCATGATCGATTCTGTTGGTTAGAAATTCATTGTTTGCCATTACTAGCCTTTTAATCCCTTATGGAAGGGTGATCGGTTTCGACAAGTTAAGCCTATGCTGATCTAATCTGTTGGTTGTAAGGATTTTGATTGGAACTTGATTGAAAGTCTGTGTGGATGAACAAATCCTCTTGAAGATAGATTGAGTGGAGTTCTATATAAAAATCAAAGAATTTCGAATCAGTTTTTTATCCGGATTTTTCAAGCATTGAGTTTTCCATGAACAATAGAGGCAAAAAAACGCAAAGTGAAGGTGCTGAACAATGGAGGCAGCTTAGTGGAAAGTGATGGAGAATATAGTGATGCTTCTATGGACTCAATCATATCCAAAGCAAACTTTTCGAATCATGGCTGCTGATTTCAGAAACAGCAGCGTTGCAGCAGCAGAATCTTCAGAGCAAATCCTCAGCTCCGAAGAAGACAGGAATACGGAGATGTCTAACACCATGTCAGTTGGTGTGTGCATAGGAATCAATTATTTCATGGAATTGTAGAGGTTTAGGTGGTCTATGTAAGAAGAGACAAGTTCAGGAGTTAATTTATGCAGATCAAATTGATATTGTATGCATGTTGGGGACCAAATTGAGTCCTCGCTCCGTGGACGAGCTATTAGATGATACCGGTAGGAAATCCTTGTTACAAATCTTCACCTTTTTGGTGATACGATCTGTTTCATTAGGGTTAGGGTATTCGTTTCCCTAGTAGGAAGAGCACTTTAAGAGCATTTTTTTCAATCTCCGAAAAACCCTTAGGAAAAGCTATTTAGAAAAGCAATTTGTTCAGTTAAATTCTATGATAAAACAGTCCAATGCCACCAATTGTTGGCTTATCTCTCCTGAATTTTTATGTAATGTTAATGTACTGATTCAAATAAAGGAATGGGAATTGTTCTTAATATGGCTTTCTGCTGAGATGCTTGTTACATGTCAAGTCAAAAGACTTCAGGGGAGAGACAAGAATTTGTTAAGGTTGCATTAAGCTCAAAATGTTGCAGGATAAGTTGCCTTGTCTTCAATCTCCTATGTTACATCAAAAGTAAAAAAAAAAAAAAAAAAATGATCAAATATTGGAAAAAGTAAAGCGAAAACAGGTGCTTAACCCTATATGGAATATACAGCATGAAAAACTCAAGTGTATTGTTCCGAGATGAAAACTACAGACATACAGGATATACCAGAAAGAATAAAAATCCTAGCTGAAGATATCTAGTTTAGTCCTCCCCTGAATAAATAAATAAATTAGCAATCCTGAATAATGGATGGTTCTTGTGTTAGAGAGGAGGGTGGCCATGGTCTCAAAGAGAACACAATGCAGTACAAGGATTCTGGTTGTTCCAGATTACTAGTTCTGACAGGCATTAAAAGAGGAGGGTGGCCATGGTCTCAAAGAGAACACAATGCAGTACAAGGATTCAGGTTGTCCCAGATTACTAGTTCTGACAGGCATTAAATGGTGCAGAATATTGTAGGTAACCCAATATTTCTAGCATTTTAATGAGCAGGAATAAGTAGTTGCATCTCAGATTCTTGCAATGAACGTTAAGAAGCAATAAGTGACTTGTATAATCAAACTTACATAGGATATTGAAATTTCTGGACAAAATTTAATTCTGATGCCACCCTGGAAATAACAAGTTAACCCACAAAAACAGCAGATTATTTCCAAAGCAATAAATCATTGTTGTTTGTGCTCTTTTGTTTATAGTCGGGAGATCATGCAATGAAGTACTTTTTCTGTTATTATTATTATTATTATTATTTTAAGTTGATCATTCACCCAAATGCAAATGGGGATCTTGTCTGGCTTATATTAAAACTAATAAAAGAAATAAACATTAAAAAAAAAAAAAAAAACCTTTTTAATGTCGTAAAATTTTCTAAATAATTGAAGAAAGAGAAAACCAGTGTTTCCAAAAAAAATAATAATTTTTATTTTCAATTAATAAACATAACATGTACTCTTTAGTTTTCTGTTTTATAGAAAAACATTCTAAAAAGTTTTGCACAAGTAAACATTGCTTAATTATTTCATTATTTTACTATTTTATTATTTTACATATAACAATAACTATAGTGAATTAATCGTTTAAATAAATGATCTCGAATTTTAATTTTTGTGTATGTAAAAAACTTTTTGAATAAGCTGTTTTCTATTTGTATATCAAATACAAAAACAAGGGATTAGTTTGGATTTTTAAACTTAAGATATCTTGAAGAATAAAAAAAATGATAGCCAAATGATAAATTTTTCATAAATAGTTATTTTATTAGTTTTGGGTTTTGGTATTTTAAAAATTTACTTCCTGAATATTTTTTTCAAATGTGTTTGTATTATGTATACATTTAAATATTGTGTTTAAGTTGTTTTTACCGTTTGAGAAAAAGAGAGAGAAAGGAGGAGCAACAAAATATATATATATATATATATATAGCAAATTAATAAGGAGTAAATGTTTAATTATCTCTAGTTTTCTCGAGCACAAATTGATAAACATCATAAGAGTCAAAAAGTCATTAGTTGAGAGAGTTGTTACGGCCATTGAATATCTCCACTTAGACCAGCTTGCTGGGCTTATTAAATTTATATGCTGGATTAATTATTTGGGCTTGATAGGATCCATGAGAACATGACCCATTAGTTGCTAAAGATACAGGGCCACTACCTATGTCAAAATACCCATGCTAACAAGGCAGGCAATTAATCACATGACCCGTAACTCTACTCTCTTAACATTTTGTTAATGTAATCTCTGCCCCCTTTTCTATATATACATATATATAACTTCTCTTATAGTTTTATTGAGTGAACATAAAGATTCTGTAGAATTTTATTAAGTTATTGGAATACGATATGTTCTATTAAAACTATTATTGAAATTTTAATTTGTTGTAATAATGATATTTTAAATCATATTATTTTGTTAGAATGAATATCTTTAGACGTTAGAAAAATTAAAACTTGAGAAATCAAATGCAATGTAGGTTTTTTTTTTATCGGAAGGTTTATAGGATTTTTGAACTACATAATAGAAATAAACCTCTTTTATTATATTATAACCAACTAAATTGAATTTTTTGGAATTCGAACTTGCTTAAATTTTTTTTGTTAAAACTACCAATTATGTTTGTTTATGTAAATGAAACATTGTTAAATATGTATGTACTTCCCTGTAAAATTCTAAAATTTACTACTAGTTCTATAATTAAGAGAATGATTGTGGAGTGAAACAAATTTTAGTTAATACATGGGAATCGTATAATATACTACAATTAATCATTGAGGACTAATTTATTACACAGCAAATTAAATCAGCAGAGGGATTTTTTTATATATATAGAATGTTGGATATTGATTTTATAAGCTAAAAATTAAGAACCCAAGTCATCTGTTTTACTTTCTCTAATGAAAACAAAGTAAACAAGAATAATGGTTCCAAGAATAATCTTTTTGCACCAATCATAACCCAAATTTCAAACCCAAGTCATCTGTTTTACTTTCTCTAATGAAAACGAAAAAAATAAGAATAATGGTTCCAAAGATAATCTTTTTGCACCAATTACAAGGAAACTACCAAGACGAAAATTAGAGACGGACACTAAACCATCTCTATTTAGCAATGATTTTCATGACAAATTACAACCAATATGTTTAGAAACAGAATCACGACTAGATATAGGTTACGGATAGAGTTCTATCGCTAACTAGCCTAAAAAAAACTAGCGATGGAATGACGACGGATTTATGAGGAAAATCGGTGATGAAATAGCAATTTCATCACTAATTCCCATTTACGAATATCCCGGGAAATGAAACGATTGTTTGGAATTCAAATTAATGACGGACACTTAAATTTGTCATTAAGTAGCAAGGGATTGACAATAGGATTGAGTATTCCATTGCCGACTAGCAACTTTGCCCTATTTACGAAAAGATTAGAAAATAAAACAACGGATTTAAATTCATATTAGCGAAAATCCATCGCTACTTTGCGATGGATTAGTGATGAAATTTAGTATTACGTAGCCGACTAACAACTTTACTCCATTTATGAAAAGATTAAAAATAGAACGTCGATTTAAATTTGTATAAGGGACGGACACTTTAATCCCTTTCTAATTAGCAACGGAATCCCATTCGTTACTAATTTTTAATTCCTAAATCGACAAAAATTTTCTTCTTTTCATTTTTTTCCCTTTTTCCCTCTCCTCTTCTTACTCGTCATCGACTACCTAGCCCTAAATCCACCACCTAAGGCGACTCAACTATTAGTGTAAGTTTCTAAGATCCAACCTTGATTGGATGACTTGACTTATTGTAATATTGTATTTTTTATTTTATTAATAAAAAAATCTTTATATTAATTCTTATTATTTATATTTATGGATAGAATTAGATAGAAGTCCATATGATATGCATTGCATTAATTATTGATTAAAAGACGTGAGAAAAATATTAATACACTTAAATGATAACATTAAATGTCTCAAGTTATAGCATTGTCAAGAATGGACATTGACTATATGCCATAAGACTTGTGACTATTATGCCCATGCTATAAGATAGCAATAGGAGATCTCACACCTATTAGCATAGTGATGCCAAAGTAAGCACTTAGGTGATTAATATTAGAGAACATATCTTTGGACTTGACTTACCATGAGAACCCATTTAGTTTAATCTGTGGGAATCTTAAACGAGATGGCTACAATCGGTTCTTTGACTTGAAGTCATCATGGTTATCTCATTAAAGGATTTATGTACTTTAACACTCGTTTTGATAAGCTCAATCAAGAGCTACATATGGACGATTCATTGGGTGCACTAAAAATCTAATGAAGATAAGTGGATGACTAAGATAGAATATGTCATTCCTTGTATGTTAAAAGAGTTATCATATTGCATTTTGATAAATGTCCATTCAAAGAATATGTGGCCATAATAGGAGTACATCAATAAAGCATAGTTGGTTTGCTCTAGAACTAAGACATTTAGAAATCGAAAAAATCGTGTGTGATCATAATCGAGCGAGACTAAAAAATCAAGTTTATGATCACACTATGATAAATTGACATGAGAACTGAATTGAATGGTAACCATGCTCATGAAAGGTAATTACGGATTAATTAATCTTCCTAGAGAATTGGGTAGTTATAATATCTTGCTAGAGGTCAATCTTGATTTATGTATCGAGAGATAAAAGAGGTGTTTTCTATTCTTGATATATTATCAACATATCTAGAAGCCTATTAAGTCATATGTATAAGTTCAAGTATTCACACAATAAAAGCGATGCAAAGATTTTGGAAAAGGTTTTCGGTTTTGAAAGTTTCCTAAATAGAAAGTTTTCTATTTTAGAAATCAATTTTTAAATTTGGAAGTCGGTTTCAAATTTAAAAGTAAGTTACCTAAAAAAGAAATTAGTTTTCTAATTTAGGTTTAAGGATAATTTAAGAAATTATTTCCCAATATAGGCTTCCTAAAAATACCTAACCTAATTTATTTAGATAGGTCAAATTAATTGGTAATTAATTAGGTCAAAAGTGTTTGAGCCAACGGGTTTAATTTAAAAGTCTTTAAGATATTTTGATGGAAAGATAAACTTGAGCCTTGTTGGATAAGGTTCAAAATTTATAAAGATAAGATAAAAAAAAGCCCACATACATTATAACTGTTAGTCCTTGGAGGACTAGGAAGCCACAATCTAGAGTCTATGTGAGACTTGTTGTCGCCACTTCCTTGTCCTTGGAAGACAAGGAAGTCACTCCCCTATAAATAGAAAAGAGAGGTACGGTAAAGAGAGAAAAAATAATTAGGAGACGCACGACATAGGAAAAAGAAGAGAGAAAATAGTTTTCTCTTCCTAAAATCACGTCAACTCTTTTCCTCTCTCTTAGAGTTGTTGCAAAATATCCCGGAACGATTTCTAAAGAGAAAAATTAAACAAGTCAAAAAAAGATAAAGATAGCACTCTACAACTACCGATTGCTTCTTATATGGGTGTTTGGACTGTGTGGGTTATCGATAAAGGCCGGACACTTAGATGATTCTTTTCTATACAAGCTAAATCTATGTTACAAGAGATAATTCTTTACTCACACTTTAATTCATGTATGTATGATTAGTTGATTCAACGGCTTCATCTTGAGAGCCTTAGAAGGAGGAAAAATTTAGCTTTATTTCACACCTCCATAAGATGTATGATCCTTCATCAACTCCTTCCCCAACATCCTTCGATCGATACAACGCTCATCTCTCCTTAAGAAATTGAGTGTTTCACACTGTTGAATCCTTTCCTTTGACTCCCCTATTGTTAATTCTCTCTCTCTACTTTTTTTTCCATACCCACTAGCTATTTGTGTTAATTATTAGGTTAGTTTTGATTAATTAGTTAATTTTTTGCTTTTGTTAGTTGTTAAGATTATTATTTTTTGTTAATTTAATTCATTAAT